CTCCGTTACCCCCGCCCATTCCGGAAAAAAAAACGATTGGGGGTGGTGAGGTTTAGACATAGGGAAAAAATTCCAACATCTCTTTTCAAAGCTATGACACAGGTGCACTCTCTGCCAGAGGGTGGTGGTGGTGAACGGTGCTGCATCCAGTTGGCAGCCGGTCACTAGTGGTGTCCCCCAGGGATCAGTGCTGGGCCCAGTTCTGTTTAGTATCTTTATCCACGATTTAGATGAGGAGATTGAGTGTACCATTAGCAAATTTGCAGATGACACAAAGCTGGGGAGGAGTGTTGATCTGCTGGAAGGCAGGAGGGCTCTTCAGAGGGACCTGGACAAGCTGGAGAGATGGTCTGATTCCAACAGGATGAGGTTCAACAAGGCCAAGTGCCACTTTGGCCACAACAACCCCATGCAGAGCTACAGGCTGGGGAACAGAGTGTCTGGAGAGCAGCCAGGCAGAGAGAGAGCTGGGAGTTTGGATTGACAGGAAGCTGAACATGAGCCAGCAGTGTGCCCAGGTGGCCAAGAAGACCAATGGATCCTGGTCTGGATCAGGAACAGTGTGGCCAGCAGGACCAGGGAAGTGATTCTTGCCCTGTACTCAGCGCTGATGAGGCCACACCTTGAGTACTGTGTCCAGTTCTGGGCCCCTCAGTTCAGGAAGGATATTGAGGGGCTGGAGCAGGTCCAGAGAAGAGCGACAAGGCTGGTGCAGGGACTCGAGCACAAGTCCTATGAGGAGAGGCTGAGGGAGCTGGGGCTGTTCAGCCTGGAGAAGAGGAGGCTCAGGGGAGACCTCATCACTCTCTACAACTCCCTGAAAGGAGGTTGTATCCAGGTGGGGGTTGGTCTCTTCTCCCAGACAACCAGCAGTAGGACAAGAGGGCACAATCTTAAGCTCTGCCAGGGGAAGTTTAGGTTGGAAGAAATTTTTTACTGAGAGAGTAATCAGGCATTGGAATGGGCTGCCCAGGGAGGTGGTGGATTCACTGACTCTGGAGGTTTTTAAGATGAGACTGGATGTGGCACTTAGTGCCATGGTCTACTAACCACAGCGGTAGTGGATAAGGGTTGGACTTGATGATCTCAAAGGTCTTTTCCTTCCAACCTGGTTGATTCTATTCTATTCTATGATTCTGTGATTTAAAGAAGGATTAAAACTCCCCATACCAGTTACTTTTTTAGTGAGTGAGTTTCAGTTGTCCAAGTTCTGAGAGGACCAGAATGTTGCATCTGAGCTATGTTCTATGATCTTGTGGCAATGGGAGAAGGATAGACTTAAGGGAGGTACACTCAGAAGATCTATTGGAGCTCAGGCAGACTTGTCTACTGAGAATGTTTTGGTGCTCTGGTCTAGTCTGCTACCCCCTATTATGCTTCTTCAGGATCATGGGGGAATTATGTTTTCTCCCTTTAGAGTGGCAGTACAACATGGGCTATTATGCAGCCAGTGGACTGGTTGTTGGCTTTTTTCCTAGGAATCCCTTTTTTAACCTGGCTAGGAACCTGGGTTTTGCTAAAATGAAAATTATCTACTAATTTGATCTCTTGCTCCATTAACCAGGGCAGTGATCCCTTAGCAAGAAGGGAATAAAAAGTATTACCACTTCTGCTTCTGCCTGCCTTTCCAAGTTCTGGGCAGCCACAACAGTTCAAACAGGTCAGTATTAAGTAATCAGGCCACCTGGGCAAGACATACACAAAGCACTCCTCTTTACTGATGTCTTCAAATATAAACCTGGCAATTCTTCCACAACAACACTGATCGTTTTGCTCATCTTTCAGCTAGGTTCTCTTTTTCCTCTATGTTGCAACACTACTGCTGGGGACTTGTTTGTTTGTTTGTTTTCCATCCTCTATTCTCCCCCCCCCGCCCCATCTCCCATCACAGATCCTGTCCTATAATTTCTCATATTGGCTTAGTACCCCTCACTGCTTTGCTCAGTTACTTTTTCTCTTGCACATCCTCATCTCTTTGCTGAAAATCCCACAGCAGGGCTTCACAACACATCAGTGCTCTTCTGCCTTGGACCTTGCATCTTCCTGTCTAGACTACCTGCATCTCCAGTTCACAGCCTTGAACAGCTTTTTCTAATCTCCTCATGTCATCTCCATGTCCTGCTTTTATTCTTCTCAAGGACCATGCTATTTCTTCCAAGGGATAATTGAAAGGATATGTTACTGACTCCCACTCCATTTTCTTTTCCTTTCTTACATACAACGGTCTTTTCTGCCTCTCTTAACTGCACCTACATTTGTCCCACTAACCTTCTCTCATCAGAGCAGCCTTGCACTTGTCCTTTTATTCTTTTCCATAGCTAATCCAGCTCCTCACTTCAAAATGTACTTTAGTCTCTCTGATTTTAAGAAACTTTCTCTTTCTTCTGTGACCTTGTTTCAGTTACTTTCCACCTCCGCTTCCTGAATGAAATTCCCTTTGCTTGCTCTGTGAGGTAGTAATGACTTGCATTGTACTTTCTTCTGGGGATACTATCTGATTGTATTAGTCATCTTGTGCTTTGACTTTAAGTTGTTTGTAGTAGAGCCCATCTTTTCATTTTGGGTTTGCAAACAACTGAGCACAACGTGTTCTCTTCCTCGGCTGGAGCTGTGCACATAATAAATAATGGCAGAATGATGAATTCAGCACTTTAGCACTGCCATCCACTGTCTGTCTTATCATGACTTTCCATACTTGACTAAAATCTTGAAGTTTTGTTTTTGTTGCTACTGACTTAAATGTATTACTGTAAGCACAGTATTTGAGAGTAATAGAAATGCCCAAATTCTTTATGTTCTATTACTTTCAAATACAAGATGCATGTCTTTTGAAATATTGAGGTTGGTAGCTCAAGTATTGAAGAACTAGGGGATCTAGATTAAACTGCTAAGTACAATTAATCCACTTGAATTACTTGAATGATGTGTATATTTTGTAATATATTTTTCTCATGCTTAAGAAAAATGCAATATTTAAGCATGCATACAGATGCAAAAGGGAGTAACCTAAAAGTTGTATGATACTTCCCTTGACTACTCTTCCATCCTCCACCTCATTTAGCAATGTCCTGAGCCAGAGTTGTTTCTCTATTTTAATGATCTTCACTGGGTTTCCTTTTCATGACCACATCCAGTTTCTTGTTGAATCCGTATATAAAGACCTCTGTGATTTTTATTTCCTTCCCTCTCTATTTCATCTTTTTAAACTTTCCCCTCTTTCATTCCTTGGTTTTCTTTCACTTCATTTCTCTGATACAACCAAGCTGATTACAATTAGGCTTACTGATATATGATTAATATTCCATACTTAAAACAACTTGCCTTTTACATTTTGTAATGTGGTCCCATACTTAAACAGTTGCAGGAATATTTAAGCTCTTTATACAACAGCTCATTTGTGACAGGAGACTGTGAAAATCTATCAAGATGTGAGGTCCAATAGATTTTATATCTAAATGTATTTGAAGAAAGTTTTGAAAGGAAGAATAGACAGGAAAAAAAGGAAAAAATGTGCTTGGTGTTTCAGTAATTCAATTGTTTATCCAATTTACTGCCATGTGCTGAAATATTACCCAAAATTCTAGGAAATGAAGTGGATCATGAGTTCAAGGATGGAGTACTAATTGAATTCTTCATTGAAATGACTCATCTAAGCAATGCAGTGACCTGGACTGCCCTCCTGAATGTAAAAATCTTTATAAATGTATCCTGGCACAGGTGCCACACTAAAAGCTTGACTCTTCTCCGTCTAAAAGAAAGGTCATCTGTCAGAGGAGCATTTGCTGGAAGGGGGGCATTATTTCCAAGAAAAAAGCATTTTTCCTTATAACAAAGCAAGATGACTTGGTCTTGTTCTTACCCATTTTGTCTAAACCACTATTGGTCACACTGGGCACAAATCTTACTGAGTAAGCTACAGGGCTTAACTGAGACATGTACCTTACATTAACCCTCTATAAAGGCAGGATTTTTTCTTACCTTAATACTATACATAGAAAAAGAGCTATAATTAAATGAACTAACAACAGTTCTAAAAATGCTGAAAATAGGAGTGTTCATTTATACTGACTACAAGTTAAATATCAGATGTGTTTTGAAAATCCTTTTCCTTTTTTATGCCTACTCCTATTTTTTTAAAGAGGATATTGATTGGGTTTTGCTTCACTAAAACCAGCATTTATATTAATGTTGGATTTTTAATGCTTTAGACTTATTCATTCACTAAGGGACTCTTACAAGCCTGTCCTTTATTTCAGTAATATATACTTGAACCATAAACACCTACTTGGCATGAAATTTGAGCAGATAAGGCAAAGAAGTGTACAAAAAAAAGAGTTATTAATTTTTCCTACTTAGAAGTGACTAGAAGATAGGGCATTTGAATGTTTTTACTGTCTTACAAATAAGCAGAGATTTGCAGCCGACTTCCACTACACATGGACCCTGGGGTTTACACACACTTGAAAAGTATGACTCACTAGCAGAAAATACACACATCACAGAAGAACAGTGAGAGAGAGCAGAATAACTTTCTGAAGGTCTTTTGTTAAAATTTTGCCTTTTAGTTAAAAGGGTATTTGAAATAATTTTTGTCTCTCTTGAAGTTTTTTTCTGCCAGGTAGTGAATCACTAGTGCAAATAAATGGAATCTATTTCTTAAGAATATGAAGAAGGAAGATTGAGTTTGTATTGTTTGTCTTGAAAATATCTTAATATCCAGAAAATAGGGGTTTTCTGTAGTGTTTTAGTACACCTGTATTGACTGTCAGCATTATTCTGTCAATGTCATACACATGTCAAGTACACTCTCATGATATCCTTACCTCCAGAAAGCTGCAGAAAAAGTATAATCTTCACTAAAGAAATAAGCAAACAATTTTCCATTACTTCAGTATCATAAGTGATTACTGTCTCTGATTTAAAAAAAAATTTCTTGTGGCTGGAAAAATCTTAAGACAGTGGACAAATTACAGACTAGACGTATTTTATAATGTACTTACATATCACTGGCAATGGAAGAGTTCCTGGACATGGACTTTGGAGACAAGTCATAGTCACTGTCTGACCGGTAAAGGAAAGACTCCCTACGTTGACTGTGGACAAAATTTGCCTGAAGAATTAGCCCTGATCCAGGGCTTGTCATGGGATCCAAGGGACTTCGTCCCGATGATGTACCATTGTCTACATCGAAACTGCAAAAAGAAGAGAAAAATATTTATGCCACTGACTTAATGTTGAAATTAATAAACACTCTTCTGACAAAATTAGCATAGCTAATTGCTTCTTGATAGCAATGGGGAAATAAAGACCTGGTCATGTCCGCTGCTGAGCAAAAACACAAGGCACACAAGAGAAATACTTTAAAATTACTGATAAACAAAACAAACAAGTCTGAAGGAAAAGAAATTTCGTAGAGGAAAAACCCCAATATTAGGATAGAGGAAGCTTTATGCTTCTCTGCATGGAGAGTATCCGTGAGCTCTATACTGGAGGAAACATCATGTTTCATTGTTCTTTTCTTCAGGCCCTATCTCTCCTGAGCTGGACCCTCATTATCCTGTCTCCTGTTGTTAAGGCAGTTGAGGGCTCTTTTGTTATCAAGTAATCAATCACAATATTTTATTGCTACAAAAATATTTCAAGAATGTATTTCTTCTTATCCCAGTAAACAAAGTCCTGGGGTAGCTTTAAGACATATGTGTGTGCTTGGACACATCTGACTGCATTAGATTTGCTATTTTGCAACCAGGTTGAAGCAATGAGTTCTTTGTTCACCACCAAGCAGCACAACTTCTGTAGCCATTTGTGTCTTTGAATGACAGTTTATATCCAGCACTTCTGCTTGTTGTATTTGGTATGAAGAATGGCTTATCTTTCCTAGGGAACACAATTGTCCCAAGAGGCTGAAGGGCGAGGGGAGAGAAAGAGAGTAGATGCTGTTTCACATAGTCTGTGATATTTCCACAAAGGGTTTTCAAAATCAGTGGAAAGACCTTGAACAGGAGTCTGCAAACAATCAGACACTTGCACAGGGTGGGTGATGCTGAGAGCATGTGTTTATGGCAACCAATGTTGCTTGGCAGCCCAACAGTTGCGTTTGGTACTATATGGAGTCTTTTTGGAGCATGTGGATTCATTTTTAGACTTAATGTGTTGTGGTACATAATCTCAGAGGTTACAAATGTGTGGATTAACAAGACTAGGTCTTTAGGCTCATTTGCCATACTATTGGGAACTTAAATAGTACTGCTAAAGTATTTAAGAGAATGAGGGATGAACAAAGGATCTTTCACATGATTTTTTAAACGTGGATAAGTGTTAGCACCATAATATGTATTTGTATTGAACCCCTATAAAGTATTCAATTTGAAACTCATTTGAAGAACACTCATTGGTATTCAGTTACATCTAATGACAGTCGAAGAGAAAAGATGCAGTACAGGTCAGCTGTTGATTAGACTTCAGCCTAGTACTGGTGTCACAGAAGGTACATGCTGCTCTCTACACTAGCTTGTTTTATATGCCACTGACTTGAGGTTTCAATGAGGTTGCCACTTGAGTGCTTTACTGAAATGACAACATTCCTGTGGCCTGCTTCAGCTTTGTTAAATGAACTGATCAAAGAAACATATATTGCCTATTTTGACAGAGATGCTCATTGCGTGGCAATGTTTCTCTTTTTTAAAAAAATACAGAAAGTAGTATTAAAAACGTCAAGAAATTTTAGTAATTTAATTTTCTTTTCTCTGTAGTTTGCAGAACAATTCACTGCTGTAAATCAGAACACATACACTTCTTCCAAAATGTAATTTGATTATGTAACTTTTTCTGTGTACTCAAACTCAAACTAAGATTAAACCATGAGACATCCAATGAGAGTTCTGTCACTATCCTGCTAGATGATCTTGAACAGTGCAAAGCTCCTCTTTGCCATTCATTTTCCCTGTTTGTTGCATCTTTGTGATCACTGTGAGATCTGCTCACAAAAAGTATCTAAAAATGTATTGGAAAGGTCAAGATAGCATGACTCCTACTGTAAAATGTCATTTGCAGCTTGTACTGCCATAAGTTCATAACCCTATTACCCTTGTTACTAGCATGACTACTTTTACTCTCAATCAATATTTTTTGGGTTTGAATTCCTAAATATTCCAGGAGCACAAAATAATCATAATACTAATGAAGGATTTGGCTCATTACACCCAAATTTCCTAATCCCAAATTTCTATCTCATTGCCTAATTTTTTTTTTCCTTTAAGCAGCTGCAACAAAACATAGATTCCTAAACAATACAGTTTTCTATTTTTGTTGTTCTATTGAGGGCAGGAGGGCAAATCATTCCTGCAATTTGAGGTAAAACAGAAGACGACTGTTTACTCCTGTGCTCAATAAGACTAATTTCTGCAATGGCAACATAGTTTCAAATATACATATATATATATATATATATAAGCTTGTCTGAGAACTTTAAAGCAAAAGTTAAAAGTTGGATAGAAATAAATGAATATAAATGTAGGTGTTTTACAGCAGAAAAACTTTGAATAAAGAGTGACTACTAAATTGACTTTTCTAACAGTGGCCTTAAATATTCAACTGATTCAAAAGTATTTAAGTGGATTAGAGGAATATATGGTTCTCTTTTCAGATTTATTTTCTTCACCCACATTTTGTGGATATATGAGTATTATATTACCAGTCATTTCTTCCAGTCAGAAACTAAGGCAGACTTCTACGAATTATTTCACTGTTAGATTATAAAATAGTGAATTTTTAGAATTTATAAGTCTGTTAACTAGAACTGCAGTTTCACCAGCTGGGAGAGGCCCTGTGGTTTGCACCACCAGATAACCACAAAGATATTGCTGTTGTGACAGAAATTTTGTTCTGTTGCACTGCGTGGTGTCCACTAGATGGCTGTCAAAAGTAAGGAACAGGATCCAAATACATCAGCTGGATTTGCTTCGGGTTGTTCAAAGAAAATGTCTTTTATGAAAATATGTATCGAGAAAAAAGTTCAGTTCTATGGTCAAAGGGGAATGTGAATGTAACACTGGTTTTTCAGAAACATGATTATATTAAAAAGTTTCTAAAATGCTAAAGCAGTTAAGTGTCTTGTTTGTGTCTTTCTGGGACATTTACCAACACTTTCAGATACAAAAGCCTGTAGAACTCTAAATCAAAACAAGTGTTACTACACTGAAAATCAGATAAATTGTTTACTTGTCTGAATCACATGTCTTATTTGTAAGAAACTGTGCTGCTGATTACACTGCAGCAAAAGAATAGAGAATCAGAATGGGGAATTGAAGACTTTCACACCATTTCTTTGCTCTTTCTTGCAGCATACACTGAAAAAATTAAAAGTTTAACATACAAAATAGGATAGATCCTTTAATTTGCCTGGGCAGTAATTGCAAAAAGTCAGCTGTGGTTGCTTCATACTTATCTTTCCACTCCTGTTAAGTTTTAAGCCACAGCAAGAATATGCTGTGAATATTAGAGAATATTAGAAGGAACAGAGAAACTGAACAACGTCTTCACTGAAGTTGTTAGTAAGGAGCACATGAACCGTTTTGCTTTCATCTCACAAGCAGAAAGTGGCCATTTGAAGACAGAATTTTCCATTGCTCTGCAGCCAGCTTCAGACAATTTGCACAATGCATGCAAACTGAAGCTGACTTTAGTGACAGGAGCATTTGGCACAGCACATCACAGAATTTTATATGTTCAAAGAGCTTTGCTGCAACTCTGGAGATGCCAGAGGTATGAAAAGCCAATGATAATTCAACAACTTTTGTGTCTGCACTTTGACAAAATATTTTAGGGCATTAAGTGGATACTGTTTATCTTTAGAGCCTGCCTTGTTCAGCGTTTGATGATGACAAAGATGACATGAGATTAAATTCAGACTTTTTTTTCCATGTTTGCATGTCTTGCCCACCATCTGTCATCTAGGCTCTGTACTGAGATGGGGACAAAGGTGGTTAGCTATCTTGAGTGACTTCATGGCTGACCTTCCCTGTGCCCCTAATAGGACGAGAAGTAATAACATCATAAGCAAACTTTAGGAAGATTATTAGTGATTTGTTTTAGACAATAGTAGGACTCTGTGGCAAGCACAGGAAATGTTCTCAATCCTGGATCTCAGCAGCACTGCTTCATTGTTAATGACAGCACAGCTTCTTTGCACATTAAAAGAAATCCTCTGTGCACTTCCTTTTGAGTGCTTAAAAAATACTTTCCTACTCTGCAAGATTGCTAAAAGAAAAAATGGGGAGGCCTGTGTATAAAATAGGAATAATGACATCATAAGACACAAGACTTTGTAATTAAGGCTGCAGAGAAAATTTTCATATTGGTCTTCCTTATTACTGAGACTTATCCTGAGACATTCTGTTTGGTTTTTTTCTTTTGATTTGTGTAGGTTTTATTTTTAGAGAAGTAAGCAATAGCAGAAGAGAGAAGGAAATAAATTTCACCCTAAAATTAAGAATTTACTAGACTTTTTAAGAATACAAATTGCACTCCTGATATTCCCCCTTAAGTGTCTCCCCACCTTCATCTTATCTTGAAAGCTGAAGGGAGGGAGAGCCAAATTAATTGATCCTCTGAGGACATCTTATCTTTTAAGGCCATCTTTAAATAGAGGAACAAGCAAGTTTTAGAGGAGCAAATTTTGTCTCCCATCAAAGGAGTCCATTGTCCTACTGTCAAGCAATCTCTCCAGCCATCTGTGCTGTGACCTACATATACATCTCAATGTCCTTACTTCCAAGAAGTCCATCCTGTTTTTCACCTGGTAACATAACCCCCACATCACACTGAATGGCAGATTTTGGCACAACACCTGTAATTCACAGAAATTATCACAGACCTGCCCTGAAGCAACTGTGTTTAGGCAGGATCTCATTTAGAGTTAAAACAAGGTAATAACTGTATATGGTTCTGAGGAAAAGGTAAGTTATTCATCGCTTGTGCCCCAGGACAGGAACCTACCACTGGGGGAGGCCGCCTGTAGCAGCTGGAGAAAGGGAAGGATTGGATGATGCTTTCAAAAGCAGAATCTGAATTTATTACTTGTATTGCTTGGAATTAAAAAAAAGGAGCTGGTGGCATACTGTGGATGTGGATGATTGTAGAAAGGCCACTGTGTGCCTATCTCTAAGATCATTTGGTAGGTCTTTATGACTTC